TCCGGTAACTGGGTGGGCCGCAGTTGTATCCCCTGGTTTTCCTGAGCTCAACGGATAGTGGCAGAAGTGAGATGCAGAATAGGAGAGGGCTGAGGGAGTCCCCTTGAAATACTCCTCTCCTTATGATGACTGGCTCTGTTTGGACTCTCGCTTCACCTGATGTTATGGTAAAGCGGGTCTTCCAGACCAGCATCAGTTGTTCTATGCATCTCACTATAGAATCGGGTACCGAAAGACACTTGAGCAAGTACACGAGTAACTCATGTGACGTTGTGTCAAATGCCTTTCGGTAATCGATCCAGGCCACAGAAAGATTCCGCTTGTACTGCACGGAGTCCTGTGTGATAGCTCTATCTATCAACAGGTTCTCCTTGCAGCCAGCGACACCTCTCTTCGACCCACGCTGCTCAAAAATCCGCTGGTAAACCGGGTCAACTACTAGGAGTACTCGCATGTACAAGATGCGTGTGAACAACTTGTAACATGCATTCAGGCAGGTAATTGGCCTGTAATTCTTCGGATTGGACAAATCTCCAGTTTTAGGGAGAAGCACGGTTCGCCCCTCGATAAACCACTCAGGGATTTGCTGCTCCCCATTCAGCCAGCTATTGAATATACTGGCTAAATGGTGGTGGGTAGAGGGAAACTTTTTCCACCAGAAGTTATTGATCCCATCGGGACCAGGAGCAGCAAAGTTCTTGGAGCCTTTGAGGGCTTCTCGAACCTCCTCAGTGGTTATCGGTTGGCGCAGTAATTCGGGCTCGGGCTCTCGGTATCTTTCGCAGAAGGTACCGAACTGCGCCAGGGCTGGAGTATCTCTGTCGAATGGATGTCTCACCTCATAGATACTCTTCCAGAAGGTTTCCACCTGATCAGCAGTCGGCGGATTGTTCACCACACTTGGAGGCGGTTGAAATAAGCGAGAGGGCTTTTCACGGAATTGTTTATTTTCCGCCAGCCCTCTCACTCGCCTCTTTAGTGACTGTTTTGCAGCCACTAACATCCGTATCCTTTCGAGGCAGTGCTGTTTGATGGTGGATAGTACTGCCTCATTGAGTGTGTGATGGGTGCGACGCAATGTATTGGCCATCCGTCGCACCTTCGACGTGAATGGCCTGTTGGCCCTCACATAATCCATCACACACTGGATACGGGAAGTGTGTTGTCTCGCCGACTGGATCTTGGCTTCCATCTTTTGTACACGCCGATCGGCCCTCTCAGTCGGTGAGACCGTTTGTATAGGTCTCTCCGGTAGAGAGGACCGAACGACGTCATACACGGCACAGTTAATGTGCCAGATGTCAGCCCCTTCCGGAAGTGTGCCTCGAAGTAATTCATCCATCCTTGTAAGGTCTTGAGGCCGCAGGGCCTTAATGTTGAGTAGGCTCCTCATTTTATTATTAAAGGATTTTTGATCCTCGTTTCAATGAATGGTGATATGATGTCCCAAAATGTCACTGCGGAGGAAGAATTCCACTATCAGGAGTCTAAAGGAGTAAACACTAAGAAAATGTCGAGGTTGTCTACCTTATTTATCAATCTTGATATCTGATCTTTTTTGAACAATAGTTCAAGTAATTTTCTGTAATTGATCACTATTTTTATCTTAGTCTGCGTTTCGTTGTAATTAACACCCAATGTAAGTTTATGATCCTAGCAATTAGGCACTTCTCACAGGTGAATTATTATTCACTGTGATAGTTCAACAGTTCCGAAAACTCGTTTGGAACAATTCTAGATTTTCTATCAGCATACTCGTATTAGGTACTAAATTATGAATCTAGTAATTATGATGAGGAATTCCCATCAACACAAGCTTGTCATGGCAATGAACTGAATCGCTTTGTTTCCTCGTAGTCGTTTCAAGGGACTTGTGAACTCAAATTAAGCTGTCATCATGAATTTCTTGGAGAGTAATTACTGGATCTGGATATTCTTTCTGTTTCAATTGGATTCCAGAAAGTCTCCTTTGTATCCCAATTGATATAGCCAGAAAAACACATGACACTTTTTGAAATTGAATTGCCTATTCTGAAATACAATTGAGAGGTGTGAAGTATCGAATATTCAAGCTATGAATATCACTTCTGAAATAGTATGCTTCAGTTGATATTACCTCTCTCCACTTTGAGAAACTATGGACTCCTACCATATTTCAGATTACTGATTCATATGTTGTTTCAGTAAACAGGGGCGAGATTATAGATACAAGAGTGAGAAGAGGGCCAGAAATTGGAAGTGATCATTACTTAGTTGTGACTACAGTCAAAGAAAAATTCCCAAGTAACCACGAGAATAAATTGAAAGCTTCAAAGATAGTGGAATATGAATCAGTAAGATCTTACAAATTACAGAACGCAGCCATCGCGGAAAAATACAGAATAACATTGACAAAAAAGTTCGAAGAGAAAATGGAAATAATAGAAACAGGAAATATAGAAGTAATATGGAATTTTTTCAAGGACACAATACTAGATACAGCTAAAGGAATATGTGGAAGTAGTAAAAATAGTAATGGAAAAAATCAAACTGCTTGGTGGACGGATGAAATAAAAAACCAAATGAAAATTAAGAAAAAGAAATGGAAAATATATCTAAGCAATGAAACAATAGAGAATTATGAAACATACAAAGATGAAAGGAAAAAAGTTAAAGAATTGGTAACATCAGCTATGAAAAACAAGTGGGCAGAATTTGAAGAGAAAATAGAGAGGGATAGCAAATCTAACCAAAAATTATTCTATAGAACGCTTAAATCATTGAGGAAAGAGAGAACGAACGACATAGCTCGACTTGAAAACAAGAACGGAAATATCCTAACGGAAGAGGATCAAATAATGAATAGATGGAGAGAATATTTCCAAGAACTTTTAGGAGCAGATAACGAGAACATGGAAGAAGAACCAACACAGAGTGTAATAATGGAAGGCAACAATGAACAAAACATCACACTGGAGGTTCTACAAGAAGTAATAAAAGAGCTGAAAAATGGAAAGGCACCTGGACGTGATAAACTAACAACGGAGATGTTCAAAAATATGGGAGAAAAGGGGACGGAATTTTTGTTGGGACTCTACAGAAGGGTTTGGATAGAAGAGGTAATACCTGAAGATTGGAAAGTAGCGTCGATAGTACCAATACATAAAAAGGGAGACAAGGGAGATTGCAATAACTATAGAGGAATCACTTTGTTGAGCACGGCGATGAAGATCTATGAACAAATTAAGTCATGGAAACCATCCAACCTTCTCAAAGTGGTCCAGATTTTTTCAAAGAAAAAACAAAATACACAAAGTCGGTCGACCACAAATTATATTACACAATTGCTAGTGTGACTAGTTTCGGCTAAACAGCCATCTTCAGACACAAATTGAATAAAGTACCTAGGCCATGTGGTGATTACAAATTCATCATTTTTTTTTTTGATTAATTTGTAATCACCACATGGCCTAGGTACTTTATTCAATTTGTGTCTGAAGATGGCTGTTTAGCCGAAACTAGTCACACTAGCAATTGTGTAATATAATTTGTGGTCGATCGACTTTGTGTATTTTGTTTTTTCTTTGTATGAACAAATTATTGATAGAAAAATAAAGCCAATAATAGAAAACACACTAGAAGAATCTCAAAGTGGTTTCAGGAGAGGCAGGAGCATTCAAGATCATATATTCACAATCAAACAAATATCCGAAAAAATGTTACAACAAAAAAAAGATGTATATTTGGGATTCATCGATCTGGAAAAAGCCTTCGATAAAGTACCGAGACATATATTATGGAATATCCTAGCAGAAAGGGGAGTAGATGAAAAATAATAAATGTAATAAAAAACATATACAGAAACAATGTCAATTGCGTTATCTACCAAAATAAAACATCTGGAAGTTTTTCAACAAAAGACGGACTGAGACAGGGAGGAGGACTGAGCCCCATATTGTTCACTATATACTACTCGACGAGGTAATTAAGAAATGCACAGCTAGAGTGAAAAAACTACATGTGGGATACAGATTCCTGAGAAGAACTGATATATCAGAAGGAGCCTTTGCTGACGACTTAGTAATTATCGCGGAAAAAGAAAAGGACTTGCAGAGAAATATGGAGATATGGAATATGGTACTTGAAGAATATGGAATGAAATTGAATACCAATAAAACGAAAGTGATGGTGATAGCATAACAACAAAAAGATATTAATATTCAACTTGATGGAATAAATATTGAACAAGTGAAAAGCTTTGAATACTTGGGAGTAGACATAGAAGACAGTGGAAGACAAGACAAGGAAATCAATAGCAGAATAGAAAAAGCCCTGCACTTATATTATGCAATGAACAAATCATTTATAAACAAGAGGGAAGTTACAAGAAAAACAAAGATAAATGTATTCAAAACAATTTATAGACCAATCCTGACATTCGGTTGTGAATCCTGGGTATTGACTAAGAAACAAAAAAGTAAAATACAAGCCATGGAAATGAAATATCTAAGAAGAGTTAAAGGGTTAACAAGAAGAGATAGAATTAGAAATAAGAGAAGAACTAGAGGTACAACCAACACTTGAATTCATAGAAAAACGTCAAATGAGCTGGTGGGGACACCTACAAAGAATGAACGATGCAAGGCCGGTAAAACAGGTATGGGAAGCAAAAATACAAAATAGGAAGAAACGAGGAAGACCAAGACAAACATGGGACGGAGCAATGGGAGAAATTTTAGGAAAGAAAGGGAAAACATGGGAAGAGGCAAAGATTATGACAAGAAATAAAAAGGAATGGGCCAAATTTGTACATGAAACTCTGTGAAATAGTATAATTATTGTATAAATTATGTAACCCACCCTACACCATCATATGGTAACAGGGATTTTGATAATATATATATATGTTGTTTCACATAATACATACATAAACAAACAACAACAACAAAACAATTTCAACAACATAATATGAGTAATTTGATTGGATATTGGATATATTCACATAATTTTACTCTTTGCAGGGATCTCGTGCACCATCGACTACCTGGAGCTGGTGATGCCTCGCTACGCTACCCTGGGCGGCGACGTCATCCTCGTGTGCAACCACAGCGTGCCGCCCGAGCAGCTCTACAAGGTGGAGTGGCGCAAAGGCGACCGGAAGATCTTCCAGTACATCAAGGGCAGGAAGCCGCCCTTCCGGTACTTTACCGCGGCCGGAGTGGTGCCCAATGTGAGTTCGAAATGCTCCTGCATGACAATTAACTCATACCTTCTACCAATATGGGTTATATTACATCATTAACATTACATACATTACATACATTTCATTTTCATTTATTGCCAGAAAAAAGAAAAATTGTACATTACATTACATATTGAGTGGGTAGATATAACATTTTCATAGTAACTGCAATACATGGGATAAATACACTAATACCTACGCCGTTGTCCTTGATATTACTACTTGATAGTTTACAAGATATGGTAATCTGTGAGTAAGCTTACCAAGTATATTATATCAATGCGGAGAACTGTGCTATCTTATTTAAGTCATATTATGTTTATTTTCATTCCATATATCTACTTATACTATATAAATCAATTGTTTTTAAACAATAAATACATTTACTGGCATCTTCACAAGGCAGCAATATACCTGTGTGTGATGGATATAATCATAATTATACAAGTAACTATGTAGAGAGGGTGAACAAGATTCAAAACGTGGAAAGAAGAAGAAGATTATATATATAATGAAAGTATTAATATAATTTTAAAGGCCACCTTGAATATTTTGGTTGGTATGAGATTTATATTCAAACTATTACCTGATTGAAAAGATTTCCTTTACTCAATAATTTCAAATATTACTTGAACATCGATGCTGGTGAAGTATTTTGTTATTTTCTTAACAAACAGTGGAAAATTGTGAGGACTTTCAATAATGTCTTGGGGAATAATATTAATAATTTTAGGTGCCATATACAGGAAAGATTTTTGAGTTGAAGTTTTTTTTGCGAAAGGTACGCGCATAATCAGTTCGCTTCTCTGGTTACGGATAAACTGAACGTTAATGTTTAGTAAGGATTGATATTTTTTTACAGATTTACTGATACAGATGCAACATAGCTCTCTGATATTCGGTATTTTCAATGAGATGAAAAGTGGTTTTGAGGGCTCTGTTCGGTTTACTTTGCAGCTTCGCGGATGATAGTACCCTCCATACCGCCTTCCCTTCCAGGGCTCCAATACCAGTCAGGCAAATCAGGAACGAACGAGGGAGAAATGTTGACAACATGAATATGGAATTAGCATAACTTGGTAGATTTGAATGCAAACAAAACACAAGCATGCCTTTTCTCTAGAAAAGTCGATCTCACTGTGCCTAACATAAGCTTGTCAGGAGTAACCATAACTTTGAAGACATCCATTTCGATGCTTGGGGTACAACTATCAGCAATAACCTTTCTTGAGAAAATCACGTGAGATCAATTGCTAAAAGTGCATCCCAAAAACTTGGTTTCCTGTTTCGGGCCAGCAGCTATTTCAGTTCCAGTCAACTGCTTATGGTCTATAAGGTACAAATCCGACCTGTCCTGGAATACTGTTTCCATATTTGGAGTGCAGCATCGAAACATACCCTGAAACTGTTGGATACTGTCCCAAAAAGGGCAATTCGCCTCGTGGGTGATACCTCGCTCACAAACTCACTCACTTCTCTGGAACACCGTAGAAAAGTTGGCGATCTGTCTCTATTTTATAGATATTTTCATGGCCGATGCTCTTCTGAAATATTAACAATAATTGTTCCTTCCTTGGCAGTCCCCGCGAGATTAACCCGTCGAGTTGGGGCTTCGCACCCCTTTGTGGTCACTTTGGAGATCTGCAGAACATCTCTTTCCAAAGACTCGTTCATCGAACGAACAGCGAGGCTCTCGAACACATTACCAAGGAAGGTGTTCCCCGAGGCATATAACCAGAAATTCAAGAAGAACACCAATTCCTACCTCATTTCTCTTGGTTCTCACGATATTCTCTGTACATTACAGAATATTCCTTTTCGTGGGAACCAGAAATACAAGAAAAAAATCAATACTAAAATGAGTTCGTAATGAGGTACTCAACCACTTTACTACGTATATCAAGGGCAGAAAGCCGCCCTTGCGGAACTTCCCGGAGGCTGGGGTGGTGCTTGATGTGAATTCGAATCGCTTATCCTGCATGACATCAACTCTTCTACTACCAATGGCGGTCTGGTGGTCGAGAGCGCAAGAGCGCTGAGTTAGTGTGGTAATTTCCACCGAGACATGGGTTCTAGCACCAGTTAGGCCATGGATGTTTGTGTTCCAATGCTTTCCCAACGAAGCACAAGTTTCGATTTATGGGGCCAACGAGGAAATGCAAACAAGAAGTGTTATCAAACATATCAACACCAAAATGAGTTTCGTAAGTTTCCATTGAAATTCAGAAAGTCTGTTTTGTCCCCAGATCTGTGTATGTGTTATCAATTATATATCACCATTTATCCGATTTTTCAACTAATTTCAAAGTACATGTGTAGATTATATCTTCTAATATTCATCTTCAAACTTGCCTTTGATAGTATCAGTATATCAAAGTCAATACACTTTCAGATCCAAGTCGTTCCAAATATTTCCCAAAGCTAATCAATCAATCAAATTCATTCACCTCGACTGAATCGGAGGCGTCAACAAAGACCAGACAGTTCTCAAAACACGAAAGTGATCATTGAACATCGGAGTTTCACAAAATGGCACCAATTTCGATTATTTTGGGCAATTTTAGCAAAAAACGCAAATCTCTCGCAAATAAATACGGATCATACGGTGACCAAGGGAGTCAGTCAAAATTTGATCATCAATTCAGTTATTGATCATTAATAATTTACTATTCCATTTCAATACTTTCACCCAATCGAAAGGTTCCAACTTGAACGATGGAAACTTGTTATTTCCATAGACCTTTTATCGCAGATTCGTGATAAGGCTTTTCTCAAATCAGAATTCCTTTCAACGTCCTGTATGATGAATAACAATTTGTCATGAATCCACTAACACACAGTTTTTTCTCTGTCAATCCTACCTCGATACGGCGCAGGGAAAGAGCGTCCAACTCACGACCGCGAGACCGTGGGTGCTATTGCCAGCTCCAGAGCAAGGAACTTTTTTTTCGATATTCAGTTTACGAATTGATTGTTGTGAAGTTTTGGATCATCGGCTGGAAATAGTCCGGCACGATTCACTGTTGCGTTCCAATTACCAGTGCGGCTCCGAAAGTAGCGCATGCAGTTAGTTACAAAGCCTACACAGAACACATAGAAAGAAATGAGTTAACGAGGTAGCTGGCCGGCCTGCCACTGCAGGTAGTGAGTACATTACTAGCCTACACAACACATTCGATAAACTCTGGAAGAGAGCTGATGGACGGTACCTAAAAATGGTGTTAGCCAGCTACCATGAGCGAACCACATCACTCATTCAAAAACACATTGGGGCTTGCAAGAAGGTCCCATTAGGGACTAGTTGCTTCCAATTCATTTAAAAAACTAGGCAAGAAGACAAAAGACAAAAATGATATGCTGCATCCTTCAGAATTCAATGAATGATTCGAAAAACATCAATGATCATCATTCCCCTGGACCGACGCCTATATATACAGTTTCTTCGGCGAGGAGACAAGAAACGAAGGAGATTATTCTTTATTGACTGAACTAAAGTTCAGCTATGTACTGTTTTGATTCCATTTTCCAGATAAGGGTCTACTCTCTTCTATCGCATCTATAATATACTATACCTCTTGCTATGTGAAAACGAAAGAGAAACATAGCAACTATTATGTGGAGTGCTTCCAGTTCCACTATCGAAGAAAAACAAATAGCTACTACTGCATGCATTTTGAGTGGAATCGTTCTCTTCTCTGTTGCTTTATTTACAGTTCCTCTCTGTTCGTGCGAGTGAACGAAATCTGAAAAGAGATCGATGAGGATAATGAAAAAGTATCATGGCAGACTGTTAGAGAACTTAAAAATCCATCAGAATAAAGTGATCATCAATCTTATGAGCCTGAATCGTTTTTTGTTACACCGTTCCTAATCTTATAATGTAACATAGCGATCAATTATTTCGACTCCAAAATTGTTAAATGGTGTTTTTTGTGTTGGTGTCAAATTTACAGAGTTATTATTCACGAGAAGTTTTCCTCACATTCTGGAATTTGGTATGGCAATGTTTGCATTGATACTGGGTTGATTGTGAAGAAGATTATCTCTATGGCATAAATGTTTAGTCCTGATATCTATCAGATTCGTTTTTCATCGCTTGGAGCGCAAGAAAGGGAATTCCTATGATGTTCGAAAAACTTCGTGCGTAACTAGGAAGGAGATGAAAGAAGAAAATCGAAAACTATGTGGATATGCACTTATTGGTTGTTGAGAAATTTGAGAGATATATAGTGCTTGTTGGTTTATAAGTTCATCAGTTTTTGAAAGGTGCCGACTTCAAATATTCAAAAAGAGTACCTACTTCTGATGGTTTCAGATGGAGAATATTAGTAGTCAAATACTATGAAAACATGGGAAGAACAATATTAGATAGGTGAGTGCCCTAAATTTGACTATAGTGTGTACAACCACATTTTCATTATTATATCAGCACATGAACTTCTGATATTTCTGTTGGTGATCGTCAACGAATCAGGTCCCTAGAATGTTCATGAATATTCGCAATATCCAAAAAGAATATTCTATGGATATTCATGGAATATCTGGTGCTGTCTGGGTAGCATCCTTAATAATGAAAAATGCATGAAGTCACCTTCACGACTTTTCGGTTTGAAAATTCAATTCATGATCCGGAGATATATAAGATGTCCATCCTCCAACTATACCAGGTGACACAAGGTAGCAAGCTACCCCTCTGTAACTTCTGCATTCGTAAACGGATTTTTCTGGAATTCAGTACAGTTATAAAACCATTTCGGATTTGATTACAATACAATCCAATAAGGACAATAAGGTGGACTTCATATCATCTGGTTTTGTTGGAAATGCTAGCAACTTCGCATTTTCTAAAACAGAAGGTTGAAGATTGGTTCTGAATTCTGATTAATACAAATTATTTTCTTGAAACACCTGTATCTTTCCTTCAACAGACAATAATTACGTGAATTGAGAACCATCGTATTAAGAAGGGATCATACTTCAATCTAAAA